CTGAAAGTAGTGACACTGGAGCATGTTGTTTCTTTGCTGAATCAGAGCTCATATCTTCTTCCTGCCAAGGCAGTGATCTTAGTATCACCCCTAAACGCACAAGTAATTCTAGAAGCCCTAATGAAAGTCAAGATAACACCACAGATTTTATAAATAAGGGTCTTTATTTAGAATACTGTTGGAAACATTATTGGCAACCACATTGTATAAATATATAAAGTTTGACACAACAAACCAAGCAATATTAAATATTTTTTAATTTTTTCCCTTTTGTTTTTTCATTTTTGGTTTTGTTTCTTTTTTTTTCCCTTTTTTTTTTTTTTTTTTTTGCAAAGCAACTCTTATTTACAATTATACAAAAAACTTTTATAAAAAATGGTCCACAACCTTATTTTGGCCAGAAGAGGAGTAATAGGAAGGATCTGTCATGCCATTACTGTTATGTTCTCCTCCGCAATCAAGAACCAGATTCCTATTCCCCAAAGCCCAGATTAAACATTGGCCATTTAATGGTATACAATTTCTTCTCTAAACATATTAAATAACTTTAGTTTAACAACCAATAAATAACTACATGTATTTTGAAATAATATAGGTTTGAAAAGTTATATATTTGAAGGAATTTTGAACGGTATTCTAAAACTGGAAAAAGCCTTTTCAGTCTTAGGTCTCAGAGTGTGGCTGTCTTAGGTCTTGGAGTGTGGCTGTCTTAGGTCTCGGAGTGTGGTTGAGTGGAGCAATGAGTTTTCAGTGAAATCCATTGGACCTGCCTTTATAACACTTGGTAGATAGGGTTGCTGCTGCTGTTATCCTGGGGAAGTGGGGTGCAGTTGGTGGGAGAAGGAATCTGGGCTCCACTGTCATTCAGGCTTGCTCCTTCTGGGGGAGAACAGGGACTCCCTTCAGCAACAGTTTCCACTGAAGGCAGTATAGGACATGTGGAGTTATCTGTGGAAATCCTCTCTACAATGCTCGAGAGGCAATCAAGGCTGGAAACAACAGAACTCTTCCCATGCTTTGGATCTAAAAAACAGGCAAAAAAGGTGCTCAGTTTATCCAATGTGTACTAAATGTCAGTAGGATGTAGTTCTTTCATAAACCCCCAGTGACTGGCTGACAGTATGCACCTGTGGCCATGTAAAGATTCAGAGGAAATTAATACTGGGGAAGGAAACCAGTTATTAGAAAGTAAGAGATGGTAACTACAAAATGGAAGAAAGATCCAACCAAAGTGCTACTTTTGGGGCAGGATGGATCCAGGGCTTCACTTAAGTCCATAGAAAGGGAAGGTAACATTTGGAATCAACTGCCAATTTCTCCAGTTTGGATTAATGATAGGTAGAGTTAGAAGAGTCTTCATGAGACACATTGTTAAACACTTAAAATTAACTGCAGGGAAGACTATACTTGCATCCAGATATTATATTTGCAAAACAGGAAAGGCAGCTATAACATACTCCCATATTTGCAAATAACATCTAGAGGAAATCCAATGCTTCTACTAGCATCAACAGCTTCCTAGCTGGAAAGACAGTTTCCTCTTTCAGTCCAGGGGAGGTCAGCTAAACAACTGGAGGCAGAGAAGGCATGGATGCATTGACTGCCTATCTCTATGTTCCATGCAGACGTTACAGCATGTACTCACCATTTGGTGATTCTGTGTAGTAGCTGCTGTCATAGCTGTTTCTTCTGCGGGAGTTGCAAGGAGGCCCACTGTACTCCATCTGGAAAGGAGAGCAATCTGGGTGAGGTCACTGCCTTTACTGAAATCCCAGTAACCATCCCATTTTGCCTTTCAGCCCCTAGTCTGTGCCATCACTCCAGTCCTGGCTTAAATGCCATCAAGTTGTAGTTCTTTGAATAGGCAAAACTTGGCTAAAAGGGGATTCGCCCCAGAATACTTCATGTGGCACAGCTGTTACAAAGGAAAATTACCACTGCTGTTGCATCAAATGCTGTAGCTTTACAAATAAGATGCGGTCTTCCAGCATTCTGATCAGATACTGCCCTACATATATCTTCAATTTACAACAGGGAGACCAAAAGGGGAATGAGTCTTTTTTTCATTTAATTTTTTAAGGGTTTTCCAAGCATAAGTTAAAAAGGCTCTGTCTACCTTTGTCACTTTATATTTCTTTAGTTTCTTTTCCTAATTCCATTTTATACAGAAAAAGCATCAAAACATTGACCAATATATTTGTTTCCAATACTTTAATCCACAATTAAATTTCTCTTTCTGACAAAAGAAAAAGGCTGTATTTTGAAGAGGGATCCTATCCATAAGTCTTCTCTCTAATCTGCCAACTATCTCATAATGGCAGATATTCAACTCAGTAATGATGATCACCACCAGAGCACAGAAAAAGAAAATAAACCTCAGGTCTTAAAGTGCTGTCAATATTCCACCTCAGAAGCTCTCCTGCACTCCAGCCACCACATCCCACCACCCCAGAGTCGAGTCTGAGCCTATAGTCGCAGTGAGAAGATGTGGCGATGAGACACCCTGTATGGCACCCACCCTTCATCTTCCCTCCCCATAACATACAAACATGACTGAAAGCCTGGGGTCTCCTTCCTGTTTCTGGTAAATGTCAATGGAGGGGATGAAGTGAGAGGAGAAATAAAAAAAAAACATTTTTTCTGTTTTTTTTTTTTGTAAGGGTCAAGAAAACTCTAGTTGGTTTAGACCCTCCTCCTGTTATCATGACGAATGGCAGAAAACAACTCCAGCACTTATCAGCTCCCCTGTAACTACCATGACCAAGGGGACTTTCCTCTCTGCTATCTTTAGAGGATTGAAAGCAAAAGATGGGAACAGAGATACCACAGGAGCTACAGGAGCATAGGCAGGGCTCCTGTAGCTCCCCATGTCCCCATCCCAGGCAGCTTCCCATGGTGCTCCCCCAGCAGCTCTCCTTTGGCTCCCCCAGGACACAGCGGGACCTGCCTAACTTCTCATCCCAGGGAAAAAAAGTGTGCAAGACATTTTTCTTCTTTCCCAGAGATCCTGGTATGTGTGGACCCCCACCTCCCTTTGCTGCTGGAGCTCAAGACAATAGAAAAAGCACTTTGTCTTATGCCTTGAGAGGTATGCAAAGTAGCTGCTATAGGAAAGGTGGGAGAAGGCAACTCGCCCTGCAGAGGTTTGGACCAACAGTGTCTGGGGCACCTTGGTGGCAGGGTGTCCTCCCTGCGGCACTCACCATGCCATCAGAGCAGTTGGAGCGGGGACTGGAGGCATCTGATTCCCCACTGTAGTGCTCCAGCACCGGGTAGTAAGCATCCTCCTGCTCCCTCAGCAGTGCCTGCAGGCTCTCAATGTAGCGGATGGCATTGCGCAGGATCTCCACCTTGGGCAGGCGCTGGTTGGGGTTGGTGGAGGTGCAACGCTTCAGAGTCTCAAAGGCTTCGTTGACCTTGCTGAGCCGCCGCCGCTCCCTCATGGTGGCAGCCTTACGGCGGTCAGCATTAGTGGTCTTCCTCTTGCAAGCCTTGCAGGCCCACAGCAGGCAGCGGCCAGCCTGGTGGTGCCCACTGGGTGCCCGGATGTGCTCCTCCTCGTGTGGGTGGCTGTGGTGATGCCCATGGTGGTGTGGGTGCTCCTCGGGCTTCAGCAGACCACCGACATGCACCAGCCGGGGATCCAGGTCCTCAAAGAAGTGCATGTCTGATGTGTTGAAGCACGGGTCATCATAGAAGTCATCAGCGCCTGCGAAGGAGCAGAGGGAGCCCTCCGTCATTTCCATAGGGCCCAGTAAGTCCATGGGGGCAGCGGCGGATACAGTGGCTGTGCCAGAGGGGGGGAGTGAGGAGATCAGAAGAGAGTGGGCTTCGACCGGGACGTTCAGCCACAGACACCGGCCAAGAGGGTGCTGCAGCGCGGGGACCCGAACACCCTCTCCCAAGCGAACCCACCAGCGATAGCAGCGGCTGCCGCCGAGCCCCTCCCCAACCGCGCCGGTCAGGGAGTGCCACTCGAGGCCGCATTTATGCCAGAGCCCCCCCCGCCCCCGACGAGGCGCGTCGGACGGGACGGGACTGGGCGGGGCGTGAAGGGGGCCGCGGCCAGCGGAGCCCCGGGAGCAGCGTTGGATGGGGGTGGGGGGGAGCAGTGTCCCTCGGCCGCGGGGAGTACCGCGGCTCGCTGCTGAGGGCGGTGGGGCTGTTGCAGAGCTTACGGCAGCAGCTGCCGGCGCTGGGCTGCACGGGTCTTTTTCTCTTCTTTTTGTACTTTTTTTTCCCTCCCACTTTTAAGCCGCCCGCCCCTGCCCTGCGCAGCCCGTCAGGGAAAGCCATGCTCGCCAGTGCCCGAAGGTGCCGGCAGGCGCCAACCCTCCGCCCCGCGGGGCTGGCGGCGCTCCGCTCTTCCCGCATGCACCGGCGGGTGTGAGACGTTTTGCACCGCGTCTCCCTGCACATCCCGGCCGGTGGGCGGCGGCGGCTCCGCTGGTTTCTCCCAGGGAAGAAGCCCCCAGCCCCGGGATGGGTTTCTCGGCGCCGGCCCCTGCCGTGCGGCTCTGCGGCCACAGGGTAACTACTGCGGGTGCGTTCGTGAGGGCGGACGGTGTGGGCGGCACCTCGGCGCCGGGCCAGGGACGCCGCGGAGAGCCGGCGCCGTTCCCGCGCTGCGGGCGCAGAGGGTGTGAAGGGAGAGGCAGGGCGGGAAAGGTCGTGGCTGAGGGGAGCCGGCGGGCGACCGCCTTCAAAATGGTGGCCGCGTGGTGGCGCTGCGCTTGGCCGCAGGTGGCGGCGTGACATGGCGGCCTCTAGGTGGGGGTAGCGGCCCGCCGCGCTGGGCCGGCTGGACCGATCGTCCCCGCCGTCACCTCCGCGCCGTGAGCGGGGTCACGGCTGCGGCAGGAGGAGGGCGAGGGGCAGCCAGGCCTCCGGGACAGGGCGATGACGGAGGAAGTGAACGCGCTCGTCCCGGAGAGCAGCTTCTCTGGAGCCATGGTCCCTGCCCTCCGCCGGGGTGTGTGTGTGTGTGGAATTACCAGCAGAAAAAAGCGTGTGTGCCTGGAGTCTTGGGAATCAGGGTGTCCCTGCCCACGTGCGACCCAGGTACAATTCAGAAATACATTACCAAGGATGGAACAGGACTCAAGCGCTGTTAATTGAAACTGTTTGAGCTCCGAGCAAAATCAGGTTGTGTGGGAGGGTGAGGTCTGGAGTGGCTGAAACACCAGCTAATGCCTGAACAAGTTGCAGCCATATTTATCACAGGAAGCATTTGATTCCTCCAAATAAGCAATGTAGTAATGGCTTAGTAATGATGTACTGAAGGAGAGCTGAGGCCTGAGTTACGTTCAACCATCGCTTCAGCAAATTACTCATTTCACATGAGCTATGATATATAAATCTGCATTTCAGGTACTTTAAACTCAACCTTCTGTTTACCCTTATTCTGAAATCTTTGAAGAGAGAGACTTCACCTTGTGAAGTTGCTTTTTTTCTGCACATGTAGTTGTGCTGCAACTGGATTGCTTGTGCAATATTAATTTGTTATTTTGGGTTAACTAGCAGTGGCAGAGTTTGGACCTTGGAGAACTGGGCTGGTTTTCGGTAACATCTCTCAAGGGTGGCAGTTTTTACTCTGATTTTGGAATCCTTTGAGATGAGGAATTTGGTTCTTCCAATACAGAAGCACTTCAGCAATTCAGCTGTGTGAGTTCATTGACTTCACGATTGAAATAGTTATGGGTATTTTTGATGTGCCATAAAATTAATTTCTATTCTGCAGCAGGTGGTAAAATTGAAACTCAGTCAAAATCAAAAGCAAAGCTCAGCCCTCAGCAAGGCAAAGGGCTGGCTGAGAGGTTCTGAAAAGTTAAAAGACATCCACCAATGATCTAGTCCCCAGTCCCGGTGCCTATGACTTCTCAGAGGGGCTATGGTGACTTCTTTTGTTGTTACGTGATTTGTTTTTTGCAAAAGTTCCTAATCTGCAGTCCCAATTTTCTACTTAAATGTCTTTGACTAGAATTAAAGGTAACGACTGTTAGTCACATTCTGTCATTATCTTCAAAAGATAACATTTTATTTAAGCTATATGTTTTAGACTCTGTGCAAACTCACTCTTTCAGTGTGTTCAGTGCTGAAAAGTGATATGTCCCAAGGGGATCAGCTATTGAGCACTTTTACACATTTACAAGTGTATGTCCCAGCTGTTTCCAAGAGGCAGAGTAGCAAACTTGTGGAAACACTTCGCTGTTATTACAGAAGTTGTTTGATCCAGAAGGAATGAGCAGATTTTGGGTTTGGTTGGTTTGTTTGTTAGGGTTGGTTTTGGTGGTTTTTAAGTAAAAATAATTCATATTCAAAAATAGTGCTAGGTATACAGTAAGGCATAATAAGTATAAATGAGAAATAGCTGTATGTTGTAACAACTAAACGTGTAAATTGGGATATCAAGGCTTGGTGCTGGCTGTGTGACTCACTCAAGACACTTTCTCTAGATCATTGGTTTCATTTGTGGAAAAGGTAATTTTACATAATATTTGGTCAGTGTTGTAGTGTATTCTGTCACCGTGTGCTTCTAGGTTATATTTGACCCTAGGAAATGGCACTCTGGGACTTGTGTGCATAGCGGTCACCTTGGGCAAAGTGGTGACAAATGGTGGAACTTGGATAAGCAGTACAAGGAGACTGCCAGTAATTGTCCATGAATGAGCTTAAGTGCATGAACTGATCTAAGTGAAATAGTCATGAGAAAGCCATAACCAGATGAATTCTGCGCAGAGTGATCTTCCAGTGGAGGTGCCCTTGAGGACTCCTTTTCTGCTGCTGTGACCAGAACTAACATTCACTTTCCAGTATTATTAACAAGATGGGTTTGTCCACAAAGATGTTGCCTTGTATGGTGGGGACTGAAAAAAAAGTCTGTGCAAAGAGCAGATCCTGAGGTGCTCTGCTCAATTTTGTGTGGTCATAGCAGAGAGGATGAAGGACAGCATGATTTCCACATAGAGACTGCAAGTGAATTCTTCACTCTGAGAGTAGGCACCCATAGGCAGTGCTTGTGGCAAGCATTTAGAACTATGCTATTGGGAATACCTGTTTGGAGCATCTGTGGCTATAACTCATAATTCCAGTAAAGATTAAGTCTCTCCAGAGCTTCCAGTTTGGATGCTGTATTTAGGGCACAAGTGCTGCTGTTCTGAGCTGCCCCAGACTCTGTGTGTGGATGGTTTGGGTGTTGCTTTGGAGGTACTGATACCGAGTGTGTATATGAACAAGCAGAGAAAGAGAATTTTGAATTTTCCTGTAAGAGTTGTTGCTCTTATACCTGTTCCACATTTATCCTTCATCTCCTTTTTTTGCAGGGTGCTATTGAAAAGGAAGCTGAGAAGGCAGGGACAGGTTGTACTTCCTGTGCTGAGAAGCATGGACATACTCATCCTATGTTCAATAGACAGGTATTGTTAACACAGTTTGAGATTATATTCATGAGCATACATGCCCCTTTAGCAGAAGCAGCATGTGGACAAGAGGAGCTTGCTATCTACAGTAACTGATTGATTTCTTTTTCCCTTTTCATCGGATAGAGACTGGGAAAATAGCTGACTGTGAGCTTATGTAAAATTAACAGAATTGTCTCTTCAGGCAGAGGGCCCAGAATGTGTTTTGGAAAAGGAAGAGAGAGAAAGACCTACAATCTGAGAGTATGTGGATATGTATGGCTAGAAAGATGAATAATGAGAAGAGAAACAGACATGGCAGTATTTCAGGGACAAAAGAAGCAAGTCCTGCTTTAAAAAACCCACCCAAAATATTGGGCTCTTTGTTATGTTGGAATTCATTTAAGGTAAAAGTTTTAAGTGCTGGAAACCATGGAGGAGGCTGTACCTCCATTTCAGAAGGTCACCAGCTCTTAAAGAAGACTGTTGCAGAAGTAGGCCACGCATTACCTACTTCTGGCGTATTTGGAGTGGGTTTATCTGGCACTAGTTTGTAAGTTGCTGAGTAGCTTTGCTCTGTTCATACTTAGTGAGCTGTATTTTAATACTGAGAGGAATGGATTCCGTTGCTCTTAACTCATATTGAGTTGCAGTCAGTGGAACTAATTGTTGAATAAGGTATGCTCAGCATGAGGATGGGTGTGGAATCTAGCCCGGATGGAAATATCTTTTAAACCACTGCTATATTAGAGAGCAGCCATCTTAATACAGGCAAATCTAGCACGTTGCTAAAAGTGCTTCAAGCTGTTCTTGTGGCACACTGTAGTATTTTTACAGATAAATGCAGGGGTTGTTTTAAAGTGATCCCATCCCCCACTCCCAAGGTTGAATCATATTAAGAGAAAGACTGGGAAAACATTTGCATTGTTGTCTGCCCTGCATTAAAACACCAACAGAAAGTAGGTGGGATAATGCAGTTTTGCAGAAATCACAACTGCAGCTGTGTATAAAAGTCAGTTTACTGAAAATGTTTTGTTGCACAGTGTTCTTAATGCAGTTTTCTGGCATTTATTGTCATTCTGTGGTCTTCCATCTCGTGCAACTTTCTTAGCAGAAACGTACTGGTGCAGTTTTGTAGACACATGCAAAACTCTCTTGGAGAGAATACCAGCATGCCTATGCAGTAAAAATTGAGGAATAGAGTATAGATGCAAACTGCCATTTCTGAACTGAATTTATTGTCAAGCATAACAAAAGTATCATGGTATTACATAAAAGCATGAGACAATCTGTCAGTGAGGCAAACTCCAGGTACGTAAAAGGTAATGTATACAGAGATGAAAAAGCTAGCTGCAGGCAGCTGATCTAACCAGCTGCTCTTCTCAGGTGACCTTGGTAGCCAGTGTACAGAGAGGCTCTTCTGTAAGAGATGAACAGAAAGAATCTGGACAGCTCTGAACTTTACCCAAGCTGGCTAAAGCAAAGGCCTTAGGTGTGGTGGTGCTAACAGCCTCCTTAACTGAATGCTGCTGTAACTGAAATGCAGAACTGGCCGCTCTCTAGGATGCAATTCTAGTTAATCGTGCTGTATTTTCACTAGGATCTTACTCCTCTACTGATTACCACGATAAATACAAGAAAGAGCAGTAATGTCATCCTAATACCATAATTTATCTAGCTGAAAGAGGGGTCTGTATGCTAATTAAAACATCCACCCTAGGTTAAGTCTGAACAGAGCCCTAGAGCTAGTGTCTTCAGTGACACTTGCAAAATATGCACGAGAACGTGTAAAGATCACATCTAATGAGAACCCATAATGTCTCTCCTCTGCTTTATGAGGATGAGAAAAGCCAAACAGGCAAATAACTGTAGAGAATACCAGCGCATTATCTTACTCCCACTGTTAAGAAAATGTTTGCATCCTTCATCCTGGAGAAGTACACCAGTAGAAATAGCTGGGTGATAAGTAAATGAATTAGACTACTCATTAGACTACTATTACAGAAATAAGAAAACCTTGTTTTAAAAGTCTTTTTCAAAAAAAGTTCATTTTGTTAGTATACTTGTTAGTAATGTAAAATATGTTAGTAATATAAAATACTTAATATTATAAAATTAAATCTTTGGATTTTCTGCCACATAGAAGTTTCCGTATACTAAAGTTGCTTTTTTATTTTTAATAAAAGTTATATATACTGTTAGAAATAATTTTCACTAACTAATCATTTAAGATAGAAAAGAGGTTTAAAAGCTTCTAGGAAGAATTACATATATAAAACTGGGATTAATGCAAACAATCTAGGTAAGTAGCAACCTTGCTGTCATTTAAACACAATAATGAAATGGGCTAGATTTTGAACTGTCACTCAACAGAGGACAGAGTGCCCTTTAAACACAATAATGAAATGGGCTAGATTTTGAACTGTCACTCAACAGAGGACAGAGTGTAAGGCAGGAGGATCAATACAGCATCATGTCTCCTGAGTCCTGGTCTCAAGTCCACCCTCTATACAGGTCTGCCTTAGGAGCTGCCTTGTAGCTGAAACAGCCACAGTGTTAAAGGCCCTCCCTGCCCTGCTTCACTTTTGCTCCTGTCCCATCATTACGCTGTGGCAGCGTGGTAGTGCAGTATATGGTTGCACAGATTGGCCCTATGCCATTTCTATGCTGGGAAGATTCTCTCGGGGGTTCCTTCAGACCCTCTGCAGCTCCTGTACAATGCTGCAGAGGCAGGGAGGGCTCTATGCCTGCTCTGAACTCTTCCTGCAACCGGTCCATAAAGTAATCCCCAAGACTATTCCTGCCATCCTGGGAACAGTCAAGCCTGCGAGCATTGGTCAGCAGATCTCCCATCAGCTTGATCTTCCGGATTTTGGGCCCGATAAATTGTTTCTTGATAGTGCTTGCGCTATGAGGGTCAGCATTTTCAATACTCAGGGCATAAAGCTCTTCAAAATACCGTACCATAGTTTTCCACTGTACCATTGCTAGTTCCAGGGCTTTCATCAGACCAACTGCATACTCACAGTTTGGTTTCTAAAAACAAAGACAGAATTACATTTATTTATAAGAACAGCTCATCTTACTGTATTCATTGATGGTTTCCTGCAACTTACCTTGTGCTATAAACAAGATGGGCTAGGATTTTGCAACAGCTCCTTCTAGTTGGGAGCATCTGTTGTTATTTTGCAGAGTTGGATGCTGTAAACATACAAAAATGGCAGAACCCATGCGCTTTTTCAAGAAACAGATACACATGGCAGCAGTTATGCTTTAGGAGCGTTCTTAACCCAGGAAAACTTACCAGAGAATCAGAATGGTTTGGTTTGGAAGGGACCTTAAAGATCATCTTATTCCATCTCCCTGACATAGGCAGGGACACCGTCCACTAGACAAGGCTGCTCAAAGTCCCATCCACCCTGGCCTTAAACACTGTGAGGGATGGAGCAGCCATAGCTTCTCTGGGCAGCCTGTGCCACGGCCTCACCACCCTCATACGGAAGAACTTTTTTGTTACATCTGTTTTTTTTCAGTTTAAAACTTACCCTCATCCTGTCATTACACTCCCTGGTAAAGAGTCCTTCCCCATTTTTCCTGTAAGCACCCATTAAATACTGTAAGGCCATTATAAAGTCTTCCCTGATTGAAACTGAATAGTTAGAAGTTTTTCAAGATGGCTTTTTTATTTTCATTTTATTCAGTTTAACAACTGCTGTAATAGGCCAATGAAGAGCATTCTGTATTAAGTATTTACAGAATACTGATTTAGTTGAGGAGAATCAGCCACTTGGTCTTTAACAGATGCAGTGGGTGTTTTTTTCCCCTGATAGCTTTCAGTTACTCCTTTGTACCTATGCAAGCCTGAATCAGATCTCCAGGTCAAATTTTATCTTGAGCTGTGCTCCAGCAGGACAACTACTGCCCCAAGCTGGATGTTTCTCCTACCTACTTCTTTACTACCTGTCTTAGATGCTAATAGATTCTAGGCTTCTGTTTAATTCCAGTGTGAAGGAGACAAGTTGGCTGTTTCAGTCTCATAATCCGTTACAGCATGCTGGAAACAGCAGCTGAATAAAAGAAAAAGGGGACCACTGTTCTTCTGGGCTAGAAAGCAACCACATAGTTAGGTCTGTATGTCTCACAGTTTCTAGGCATCACAATCAAGAATAAACCCATGACCACTAATAAGACAAGGAAATTATATCTGGAAATCTAATAGCGGATGAATGCAGACATCTGAAGTACCAACAATATAATGCAAGAAGTTAGAATAATTACTGAGGACTGCAACTGCTGGACAGCTTATCAGCTACTACCCACCTGAATTGTTTTAGAACAGTAATGGCCACCTCTTTCTTGTTGATACTTCATCAAAGCCTCTGCAGCTTTTCTCTCTTCCAGAGCTTGATGCAAGAAGAACTTTGAAACATTTGGTAGAGCCACATGTGACTGATCAAAATATTCACCCTAAGCACACAAAACATGAGTATTAAGATTTGCTGGAGATGGGACTCGTTTGCAGCAGAACATGGCTTTATGAAAACGTGGGAGAGCCTTCCAATGGAAGCTGTTCTACCAGCACAATCACTTTGAAGACCTAATCCAAATTTCTGCAATAAATGAAGTAGTTATGGTCTTAAATGAAAAAAATATATATATTTCTACTGGAACTCCTTCTGCCCTTTAATACTGGACAGGTAACTGCAGTAGTTATGTTCTGTCTCAGCAGCAGAGACCTCCAGAATATTTTATTTATGAGTGGCTGGGGATGGGTTTTGATGTTTTATGTGGGCTTTTTGTTTGGCTACTTTTTATATTTTTTAAACACAGTCACACAAAGAACATCAAATTTATCCCTTCAGGTCAGCATTCCAGTGAAAAGTTAGCTTTCAAAGATATGAAAAAGATGAGGCAAATAAAAAAGCATAACTTTGCATCTATTTATTAGCTTTGTTATGGATAATGTTATTCCAAAATAAAGAATACTGCTACTGAACTGTACTGTATGCACATCTAGGAATGCTTAAGTATTATAACCCTAAACACGCTGCAGGTCTTGTTCTGGTCTGTATGGGAAAGTAAACCTTTAAACACTGCAGTATTTTAATCATGCTAATAGATCTGTCAGCTCTCACATTAGAAGAATTTTATCCATGGTAGTGCTGTCCATAAAGAGAACTTATTGGAGACAGGCAGCAAAGGAGAGCCACCAGGTTATACTGGCTCTGTACAGCTGTGATGTTGAGAAAGATGAGAGGCAGTAGCTGGGAATATGCCAAGAACCAAATTGAGGTAGTTAGTATCTTGATCTGCTGCTTCTCTAGACATGCATATGTAACGCAATACAGCTTTTGTCTTCTGGACATGCTCTGGATTGCAGCACTACATCTCAAGCTGTTGGCTTGTAGCCTGCCTGTGAGGGGGAAGGAACAAATATGTGCATTTCCTAAGTTTTTCTGCTTCTTCTTGTTTTCCCTGCTTTCATCTATTACTGTTTAGATATTAAATACTTGTGTTTCATCTATGCTGCTCTGTTCAGAACAAATGCAGAAGAGTTATATACACAGTACAAGGTTGTTTCTCTTGTATTTTTGTGGCCAGCTGGATACCCCAGACCTGTGACACACATACGCATGTGTGACCATAAAACCATTCAAGAGAAAACACATACTGGAATCTTTTATTAAGAACATTCATTGAAGTATTTGCATAATCCTTTTCCTGAAGTCACTCATTCTTGTTTCTGTTGACAGGAGAGTCAAGATTCAATGTTTTATAACCAGTTCCTCAGTGCAAGCGTGCTGTGTGACTTCAAGTAGAGCACAAGTTACCACACCTGTTTAACTGTTAAGGTAAATCTTTCATGTAAATCATTAACTGTTTAATATGGTCACATTTCCAGGTTTGATGTATCCACAGTCAATGTCTAATTGAGCTCTCCCCATCCCACCCAGCTGCCAATCACTAGTATCATTCTAATGCACATGATTAACAAGTAGAGGTTTTACTGCATACTTACATTTTTAGTGGACTAATAGTTGACACCATGCTTGATCAAGAGATCTTGGGGATATATGGAATACAGTTTGTATTGCTTCTCAGTGGATGCTTGGCATCAGAAGGGATAGCATTGATGATTTGGTTTATGATTTTAATTGCTTTGTTAAAATACATGTTGCCTTAATATTTGGTATGTAATTGGACACAATTTTGGCATGCATGTTACATGGTATCAGAAATAACTTTTATAACTTTTTTAATTCATGTCCAGCATTCCTGCATGTGGAGCAAAACACCCAAAGGAAACGGTGATGTTTGCAAACTTACTTACTTCACCAGTTAACCACACACAGCTATTTTACATACAAAGTCTGGAGGAAAAAAAAAATCCCAAACTCTGAGAAGTTAATAGCTCAGATTTGCTGGTGTTCCCTGTAACAGTCCCTTTTTTCACAGGGATAACACAAGTGCCTACTTCATCACCCGCTAGTTCCGGACTTTCGCTGTCTTTCCACTAGCCGTGTCAGGGGCTGCACCGGGCTAAGCGCAGCGGTAGCAGCGACCATCTGGAGCCGACTCCGACAACAGCGCTGGTGCGCTGCCGCGTCTGGATGCGAAAAGCGCCCCCACATCCCGCTGGGTCACCTCATGGGGCAGAACCACTCTTCTATACCTGCCCAGCTTTGAAACCCCCCTTAACCCCCGACAGCGCCGACGAGACCTGCTCCAGCCCCCGGGTACCCTGTTACCCCACCGCCGGGCGGCTGCTCTGGCAGGGCCCGGGGGGAGCCATGCTGCGCCCTCGCCGGCCTCTCGAAACATCGTCGCCCTGTCCCGGTCCCGAATTGGGCCCCGTCCCGCCGCCTTACCAGCGCCTGCAGGCAGTAGGCGAGCTCCAGCAGGGCGCTGGTGACGCCGCAGAGGCCTTCCTCCACGGCGGGCGGGAAGCTCTGCCTCACGCGGCTGCCGGGCAGCGCGCGGTGCGCCTGGCAGGCGGGCAGCGTGACGCGGGGCCGCTTGGAGCGCGGTTCAGCCATGGCGGGCGCCGCCATCAGGCAGCTACCCCACCGCGCCGCCTGATATAGCGCGGGCACCTGGGACACACCTCGCCGCGCCCGGCAGCGCCGGGCCGCCCCTTCCCGCCCCCCTCCCGGCCCGTGTCGGCGGGAGGTGCACGCGGTTGCCCGCCCTCGCCGGGGGAGGGCAGGGCCGCCATGGTGCTCGCGCCCGCGGGCTAGTGCGGCCGTAAACAGCCCGGACCGGTGTGGGGCCGGCCCACCCCCCTTCGGCCTGGCGTCGGTCGGTAGGGTGGGAAAGGCCACGCAGTGACTCGGCCTTTCTGCGTGGGGCTTATTTGAGGGACAGTCGCTTAACAGTGAGCGAGCTACGAGAGTGCAGCGGGGCCCAGTTGAAGCCGCAGCAGCTGATGGTAGCTGCGGTCAGGTGCAGTCATGGGGAGGGTGTGCTCGGTGAAAATCCTGCGAACTGAGCAGTGTATATGAATGGGTCTTGGCTACAAGAAATGTTTGTGTCGAACTGGTCCTACCTTGGCAGACTGAGCCATCTTTTGTATTGTAACTAATAATTCTCAGCTTATAGAGTGATTTAAAGATACAGGTTTCTGACTTAAGGTTTCTGAGTTTTTCACCTGATATACTGTTGATGGAGCCGTGCATGTTACTGCTTGAGCACTTATTTACCTTTAATAGACTCAGGCCAGTGGAGTGGAAATACAAGTAATCTCAACACCCTTCAAATTTAATAATTTTCTGATCAGTGACTTTATGTTTAGTAAGCTTAATGTTAGGTGCTGTTCTGTGGAATGTTTTTCTAGCAGATCACCCCACTCCTCCCCAAACCCAGCATGCTAAGGACAGAATCATTATTAAAATCACAGAATAGTTAGGGTTGAAAAGGACCTTAAGATCATGAAGTTCCAACCCCCTGCCATGGGCAGGGCCACCTCACATTAAACCATGTCACCCAAGGCTCTGTCCAACCTGCCCTTGAACACCATCAGGGATGGAGCAATCACAACTTCCCTGGGCAACCCATTCCAGTGCTTATATCCAATCTAAACTTCCCCTGTTTAAGTTTTAACTCATTACTCCTTGTCCTGTCACTACAGTCCCTAATGAAGAGCCCCTGCTCAGCATCCTTATAAGCCCCCTTCACATACTGGAAGGCTGCTATGAGGTCTCCACGCAGCCTTCTCTTCTCCAGGCTGAACAGCCCCAACTTTCTCAGCCTATCTTCATATGGGAGGTGCTCCAGTCCCCTGATCATCCTTGTGGCCCTCCTCTGGACTTGTTCCAACAGTTCCATGTCCTTTTTATGTTGTGGACACACCAGAACTGCACACAGTACTCCAGGTGAGGTCTCAAGAGTGCAGAGTACAGGGGCAGGATCACCTCCTTCAACCTGCTGGTCACACTCCTTTTGATGCAGCCCAGGATACCGACAAGGAGAGGTGCCATGCTTGACCTCATGCTCACCAACAGGGAAGGGCTCGTTGGAAATAGTGGCACTCCAGGGCAGCCTTGGATGCAGCGACCACGAGATGGTCGAATTCAAGATCCTCAGGACAGTGAGAAGAGCGTGTAGCAAGCTCACTGCCCTGGAATTCAAGAGAGCAGACTTTGGCCTCTTCAGGAGCCTGCTTAGTAAGGTTTCATGTGATACAGCCCTGGAGGGCAGGAGGGCCCAAGACTGTTGGTTGATATTCAAAGATCACCTGCTACAAACTCAGGAGTGTTGCATCCCAACTAGAAGGAAGTGCAGCAGGAGGGCCAGGAGACCTCCTTGGATGGACAAAGAGCTGCTGAGGAAACTTAGAGGGGAAAAAAGAGGCTTATAAAAGGTGGATGCAAGGACAGGCAGCCTGAGAAGGGTACAGGGATATTGTCCGGGAAGTTAGAGACCAGGTTAGGAAAGCTAAGGCTCACTTAGAATTAAACTTGGTAGGGATATTAAGGATAACAGGAAGGCATTATATAGGTATGTAGCAAATAAAAGACTAGGGACAACATAGGCCCCCTCTGGAAGCTATCAGGATAACTGGCTACACAGGATTTGGAGAAGGCCGAGGTTCTGAATGACTGCTTTGCCTCCATCTTCACTGGCAAAGGCTCTGACTGCACCAGCCAAGTCTTGGAAGGCAGACGCAGGGACTGTGAGAATGAAGACCTTGGGCCCACTGTAGGAGAGGATCTGGTTCAAGACGGTCTTAAAAAACTGAACCTACAGAAGTCCATGGGTCCTGATGAAATTCATCCGTGGGTCCTGAAGGAGCTGGCGAATAAAGTTGCTAAGCCACTGGTCATCATACTTGAAAAATCATGGCAGTCAGGTGAAGTTCCCAATGACTGGAAGAAGGGAAATATAACCCCCATTTTCAAGAAGGGGAAAATGGATGACCAGGGGGATTACAGACCAGTCAGTCTCACCTCTGTGCCTGGCAAAATCTTGGAGCAAATTCTCCTGGAAGGCATGCTAAGGCACATGAAAATCAACAAGGTGCTTGGTGACAGCCAGCATGGCATCACTAAGGGGAAATCCTGCCTGACCGATTTGGTGGCCTTTTATGATGGGGCTACAGAACTGATGGACAGGGGTAAAGCAGTTGATGTCATCTACCTGGACTTGTGCAAAGCGTTTGACACTGTCCCACGCAACACCTTTGTCTCTAAATTGGAGAGACATCAACTTGATAGGTGGACCACACGGTGGATAAAGAACTGGCTGGATGGCCGCACACAAAGAGTTGTGGTCAATGGCTCAATGTCTGTCTGGAGACCAGTAACGAGTGGTGTCCCTCAGGGATCAGTGTTGGGACCGGTCTTGTTTAACATCTTCGTCACTGACATGGACAGTGGGATTGAGTGCACCCTCAGCAAGTTTGCCGATGACACCAAGCTGTGTGGTTCGGTTGATACGCTGGAGGGAAGGAATGCCATCCAGAGGGACCTTGACACACTTGTGAGGTGGGCTGATCCAATCTTATGAAGTTTAATCATGCCAAGTGCAAGGTCCTGCACCTGGGTCGGAGCAATCCCAGGCACAGCTACAGGCTGGGCAGAGAAGAGATTGAGAGCAGCCCTGTGGAGAAGGACCTGGGGGTGTTGGTTGGTGAGAAAATGAACATGAGCCAGCTTCAGTGTGCACTTGCAGCCCAGAAAGCCAACCGTATCCTGGGCTGCATCAAAAGGAGCGTGACGAGCAGGTCGAAGGAGGTGATCCTGCCATTCTCCGCAGGGCTGCTCTGAATCTCTTCTCTGCCCAACCTCTAGCTATGCCTGGGATTGCTCTGACCCAGGTGTAGGTGTATTCTGTCACACATGTTAATTGTTATTGGATCTGACTACCCAGAGCAGAGCATGCATCCGAGAGTAGTCACGTAAAGATGTCGGAAAATTGCTCATGACAAAAAAACTTAAATACTAGTTAGGTGCTTCCATCTCATATGCTGTTCACCCCTCTTTGTTTACTGTAATTGTGCTGTTTTCATTCTTCTGATTCTTTATGCTGTATTTAAATTTGAAGTTCCAGCAAATAAACTGTAAAAGTGTGCTAAGTTTACCTTAAAAAATCCCAAACATTTAAGCATATCCTTATTTTAAGCACTTGAGTGAAACTGCATGTGAGGAAAGTACACTTGTAATGTTTTCAATGCTAAAATAAGTACCTAAATTCGTAAGCTACATTATATTCATTGACAAGAATGCCTATATGCCCTCTTTCACTGGGGCTCTAGGGTCTTTTGCTATTAACACGTACTTCTAGCAGTTACCTTTTAGCTCCCTTCATTCCAACTGTCTTTGTTGTGGCAAGCAAAATAGTTGCTAATGTTCTGTTTTTCCAGAATAATCCTTTGCCTCAGAAGAGGAATGAGTGTGTGTGCATGTATGCACTGACATTCTAATCTGAATAGAATACCTTGTTTCTGTGGGCAGTCCAAATAATTTTAAATTGCAATAGAAAGCAAGTTAGCTAGTGTCTGTGGAAAAGTTTACAGTTATGTTTTGTTAGGTGGTGTTCATAACAATTTGTGAACATATTGGCTCATAGATGCTTCCATCTGTGTTGGTGGATTTTGGTTCCGTGGAAGTCAATGTTAAGTTACCCATTTTCAGTAATGGAGAGCTAAGATGCAAAGACATTTCCTAAGAGTACCTATGATATATCAGCCTGATCTGAAAACTGACTCTAAATTCCTTAGTCTCCATCTGTTCTTTAACTCCTCTTTTTATGAGAACACCATTCAATTTATTTTGCTTTGTGCTTCATAGAACTAAAGGCAGTACATGTCATTTGTATTGTAATAAAATGCACTGTGGAAAAATTCCATTACAAAGTAATTTAGGGATTCTTGCTACATAGCATGAGGTGTTGTCACATACTGGTTGTATCTGGTCTGAGAACAGTATTATCTTTTCCAAAAACTTGTGATCTCAAGTCTTGATTTTCAAGAAATGCTGTACTCTAGGGAACAAAAACTTTGTTCAGTTTCTTAGTTAAAACATTTCAACATGGCACAGAGTAAGTGCAGCTACCTGCTATCAGGTAGGATTGCTTTTTTTCCCACCTGCCCTAAACTGAAGGGGAAGTCTTACATATCTCTTCCAAACTGCCTGCTTGGGGTAGCAATAGCTGTATATGACTTTGTTATAATTGAATCTGGGTTAGATCCTTACTCCCACGAAATCTTGAAGTACCAAGGTACTTCGCAGATGTCCTCAATAAACTGATGTTGTGTGAAGAGGGTTGGACACTGAGTGATCTTGGCCAAGGGAAAGCAAGAGCAGGTAGCTATGTGCAAGTCACTGTAAAAAGGATCGGTGACATCTGTAAATAGGGTTGATGACAGGATTGATCCTGCTTATTCCCGTAATCTAGGGTTAAATGTGTAGTGTTAGGCATGAGCCTTAATGAAACGTATCTATTTGTTTTTATGATTTGGCATGACTTTGGTACAGAACATTTTGAAGAGTGTTTAAAGTGTATGGCAGAGTGGGAAGCTAAACAACCACAGTGTGGTATACAGAACTGCAGTTAAAATTCCAGCAAAATAAACTTTTTTACACACACACATGTTCCTCCCTCCCCTTTCTTTCTGTTCTTCAGCAGTGTCGGTGGGTTTTAGCAGTCATCTGCAAATATCCTTTCTGCTGAGACTACTTTTAGTTGTATCTGTCCATTTTCTACCTTGATTCTCTCTCATTTTAACCCCAGGTAGCAGGAGTTGTGGCTGTTGCTTCTCTCCAGTTGCTATCTGTTAGCTTATTTCTAACTGTGGCAGATTTTTCATGGGCTTTGCAGATAATGTATCTATTGCTGCCAAACTTTTTTCCTATGCGATCATTTAGTGCCTGTCAATTGCTATGATGAAAGTGGAAGGCTATGTGTGGAAAAAATAGTAAGTGAATAAATGTATGATATGTATGCCTATGAATTAGCCTTCTTCATAATTTTGTTTTGTAATTAACCTCTCTGGCAGGAAATGGAGAATGATTCATACAAACATGAATTAATTCACGTGTATTCATATACTGGACTTGAGGTCACTTAACCCATTTTTGTATGCTTTTCCATTCTCAACAGGTGCTTCATTTCACTATTTTATCTGATCCCAGTCTTTTTCATTTCTTTTTTCCATGGAGGGAAAGCTAGCAAAACCTCTGAGTTGTTTTGTTGCCTTTTTGCGCTGTATGACTCATAAAGTTAAAAAAACAGCCTGAAATTTGGGAGCTTACTACTTAAGTAAGCATAGAAAAAAAATAACCTTTTTTAACTGTCTCACAGTAAAAGTAGTCATCAGCAAAACATAAGATGGCCCTGGGGTGACAGTAGCACTGTGACCAGGGTGTGAGGGGGACCCTCTGGAAATGCTTTTTGTCTGTAGTTACTGAGTAAACGGAAAGGTCCAGTTTGTTGTAGTGCTGGTGACAGTAGCACTGTTACCAGGCTGTGAGGGGGACCCTCTGGAAAATGCTTTTTGTCTGTAGTCACTGAGCAAATGGAAAGTAGTGCTGTGCAATTTTTTAGCTGTAGAAGAGAAGGATTTCCCAAAAGTAAAAGTTAAAACCTGTTCACTTTGAAGTTAGAGTCTTGATGTTGTTGGTATAAAACAGAGCGAACAGAAGCCTGTTTCTTGGTCTTACAAGTACTGAAAATAACTGCAGTGCTCTGGCCACACATATTTTACATCTGTTCAGATTATTAAAATGAGATACCACAAATCCTGTTTGTTAAATGCTTGGATTCATTTTTATTTTGGAGGTAATTTTTGAAAATGCCTTTTTTTGGCACTTCCGTCACATACTCTTGAAACTTAGTTTTCCATTGCTTTCCTTTTCTAGAGTCAAAGATTTTCTTCCTGGCATGGATATTTTTGTATTTGCAAGACGTTAGTGCTGTTTTTAAAGCCAGTTGAGATATTTGAGGGTGTTCTTCAGTTGTCCTAGAAACAGTCATGCCTTTTTTGCCTTCATTCAGTTTTCCACTTTGCATCTGTAGCCTGGTAAAATTGCGACACTTCGCACCTCTGGTGTAAATTAATCTCTGGCAGTTCAATTCCACAGCCTTCCTTGACACAAGTCTGCATGGCACAGATACTGAGAATTTGGGTCATCTGGCTTTCTTCTTTTGCAGTGAAGCTCTTCCTTAAGTAACTTTGGAAATGCTGAACAACGTAAGACATTGTGATATATGGAGAGTTCTTTGAAACTTTACTGACTGCAGTTTGTGCTTCAGATTATGCGCACAGGCCATGGGCCTATCTGTGTCACGTCTGAGATGTAGAAGATGGGCTTGTAAGAGTTTCTGAAATACAAGCAAAGCTTATCTTTAACCTCGTGTCACAGTACAGGTATAGAAGGGTTTCTTGATTCATGCTGTTTGCTTGTCCGCAGTGTTTAAATTAGATAATCTGTAACTAATGCTTGCTTTTACTGTGGGACCCTTTCAGTAGTAGAGAGTTTGCTTCAGCTAATGCCGAGAGGAGACAGGTGGCCTCAGCTCCTCCTTGGCATGGTGCTGCAGGGACCCAGAGAGGTTGGTGCTGTGCAGGGCAGCAGGGAGCCTTGGTGGCCACTGTGGCCACTCTGAGCTGTAACTTTGCTGTTCAGGGCACATCCTGCCTACATAAGCACCTGCCCTCACTCTCCTGCAGGCTCCCAGGCACCCCTCCCTTCTCCTCTCTCTCCCTGTAGGTTCTTTTCCAGCTGCTGCCACAACAGCAGTGCTCAGGCAGACTCATCCTCTCCCTTTGCTCCCACCCTCCCTTCTATAGACCTGCAGAAAGCACCATGCCAATAGCAGATTTGGGGGCTGTGTGCGTGTGCAGCCAAGAAGATGTAACTGCATCTTGGTGAACTGCATAGGTAGACTCTTGGCTGTGATTGTTGTCCTGCCTTAACCTGGTTTATGGTTGACACCTTCAGCTGTCTTGTTGCATCTCATCTCCAGCTGCATGGGGCCGTGTTTGAGTGTGTGTGAGACTGTGTATGTGTGCATAGGCTTAATGCTGGGGCTACAGGTAAAACTGCTCCACAGCTGCTACGAAGTTGTCTAGGAGCTATATATCACTGTTTTCTCTGAAGCACATTATCACTCTTCACAGTGCAGTTTTAAATGTTGACGATTCACCTACACTGAGTTGTTCTCCCCTGGTCTTTTCTCACTGTATTTACAAAATACTTAGGTGTGGCGACTAGGCTTCTCGGCAGTTCTGTGTCTTTAAGAGCCCTGCGTCTGCCAGCGCTCAGGAAGCCCGTGGTTTGACTTAGGCAGACAGGCAGGAGGGAGAGCTGGAGTCATGGGGGCTGGCTGGCTGTGCTCCCTGCCTGGTGGCGGCAGGGGACGGGCAGACAGGCTGAGTTGAGCTTCATCCTGGTCAGCAGCACTAGCCCTTCAATCTCCATTTCTTCTTTTATAAATACACTTAAGATGTAAGTGGATTTTTAATTTCAGGTGGTACTGGCTGATGCTACCCACTTGTTTTTTTTCAAAGAGATGTGCTTTGGGGTAAGTTAAAACAATTTGTCAGGGTTCATCTGTCTCTGCGATTCTGCAATTCTTATTTGAAGCCACATTTAAAAAAACATAGGCCAGCAAACTTAAGGCTCGTCCTTGCAATCTGTCCATGGCATATTGTAAGTCCAGTCCCTTACTGGAGGTTAAAGCCACCAGGTCCCAGATCTGGAGCAAATGTAAAGGAATTCTGTGGAATTTCTGAAAACGTGGCATACCCCAGGCAACATTGCGTAAGGGGGTTGTGCAATCCCAAACTGACTAAAGCCTGGCATAATTTATGTATCTTGCCTTTCTATTCTATCTTCCTTTCCATAGCTGTGGGTAAAAATCTGTACTTACTTTTGGACAAATGAGAAAATAAGACTTGGTATGTTGAAAAAGGTAGTGTCTTTTTTTTTTGTACAGTCTGTGCCATCTGCAATCAGTGATTGCAGGTAATGCCTTCCAGGGAGTATAAACTTCAGTAGGTGTACTCTGTGCTCCAGATGGCCCTTGAGGGAGCATCAGACCTACCTCTCTGAGGTGAGCCTGAGCAGATGCACTCTGTCCATACTCAGAATATTTGGGCTAGCAGAATTAACTATGAGCAAGGGCTGAAGATCCAGAAACCATTTCTTGCCTTGCTGCTACATGCTATAGATAGTTGGTGTTTGTAGAGTTCTTGCCTATTATCAAGAGCACCTGCTTCTGAAGTACAGGTACCCCTCACTGAAGCCATTTGCTACTTGTCTTGAGAGAGAAGTTAAAGCCACATCTATGGTAAGAGGTGTGTGATATGTTTACAGGTGAAGAGGAAATGATTCTAAATGTTTTAGCATTCAGAGTGACAAAAAACAAATGAACCCTTTTCACAGTTTTTGTTTGACAAAGAATCTTTTCAAAGTTTGAATGAAACTGATTGAGAAAAAAAAATGAAAAGGTTATTTATTTGAAACTTTAAATAAACATTCATCAGCAGAATGTTTGGTTTAAGTTTTATATTAACATGAGTTAGTGGTGGTGAATCAGACAAAACAGAAGTGGACAATTTCACTCAAACATCATAGACCTTAAAGGCCATGCTAAATTCTGATGAAGTAATTTCTCATCACAGATGAGCCTTTATTGCTGCTTCCTGCTCAAAACTCCTCTTTTAGGCCACTGCATTCTATCCTTTGTGGTGTGTTGTGATTCCCTAAGGTATCTCCTTCCCTATTGTTTTCTGCCTAATTTAATTTTAATGGGTTTAGATACGTTATTAAAAAAACTTACAATAGTAGGTGTTAGGTTGTAGTCTGTGGCAGTATATCCCAGGGAAAGTCTTCTGTGCCAATTTGCAAGGATCAAACAAGTTGTTCTCAATTTCAGTGTCTTTATGCAGAACACTTGCTGACTGGGCATTCTCCTGATTTCATTAGAATTATGAGGTGTAACTCAAGAGTATATTTGATCCCTGTCACTTAAGGTGGTCAGCCCCATTAACTAGTAGTTTGGGAAGTTATTTATTCTGATCTTTAGGACATGGTGGCATTACTCACAGTGATGCAGTGAAATGCTTTTTGATTTTTAAACCCCTACCTCTAATTGCTGTCTTTTTTTAAATTTAGAAATTACTGTGACGAGTATTTACAAATTTCACAGAACATTTTGTTCTCTGATTTAAATCCTGCATACCAAGTGCTTGCCTGGGGCAAAGACAAAAAAAGTTAGCTTTGACGCTCCAAAACTGGTAGAATAAATCCTGTGCAGCTGGCCTGCGTGAAATGTGCCCAGTGACAGTAAGCCGCAGAGAGGATTCAGAGGGTTAGGGAGAGCTCTGTGCCTGTCATGCTAGGAGTGTTTTATTGTTTTTGCTGTGAAGGGCAGCAGCACAGAGTATCTGTACTGCTCAGTATGACGTACGCAAAGTGGTGGAGTACACAAAGTGATGATTGCCACATGGTTCTGTTAGGTATATATATGGACAAAACCAACACATAAGTGTACAATATTGTCTTTGTATGCTGATAGCACTTTGATGTTTTCCAACTTTGGACCTGTGGTTAAAGCCACAAAGGAAATATGTGAGTCTGCACCAGCTGAGAATATGTTTCTAGCACTGGGCATTCCTGTGTGGTTGTGTGAATGTCTGTTCATTGGTGAGGAAATGGTGTTGGCTAGCCTGTACTCAGTGTTTGTCAAGGGAAATTCTCAGAGACTGATTTAAATGGGAAAGCCAACGCAGTACAATTTACACTTGTGTGTACTTGTGGATAAAATGCCAGTAACTGTTATGGATTGGAGACTATTTTTTCTGCCTGTGCTATTCTCACCACCAGCTCTGCTCCTTCAGCCGTCTCTGTTTTACTTCTTTTTGCAATATAACCTAGCTGAGACTTGGTCGCAAGAGAAAGTGACTTAAACAAATCTTAATCTCAGAAAGTCATGAATTAAAAGATGCACAATTCAGGAAAATAAATTTTGGAACACAAAGTTAGGAAGCCTGTGCCCAGTTCATGTGAGCAGCTTGCAACAAGGTCATGTTTTCCTCTAATAGTGTATCAACAGGAATTTGGAAAGCCTACTTTTACTCACGTTGTGTGAGCTTTTGGCAGTACTCTGTGGAGCTGCTTTTATGAATTCAGCTTTGTTTTCAGGTTCCAGAAAACTTGGAGGTTCTCTGGAAAGAGGCACAAGAGTAACTGCTAAGAGTGAGACCAGATTTGCAGAACTGACCTTTGGAGATCAGAATGGAAGGACTCACAAAAGAAAAAATGTAAAGGCTTTCATTAATACAAGCATTTATCCATAATACACTAAAAGGGACTTTAAGAAGAGAGTTGTATGCTTTAGGTCATAAACCAGCTTCTAGCAAAGTAAGATAAGAAAATTTTCCTTGGAGCCACTTTGACCGATAGCTGGTTTCGGCAGGGGTTTTTTTTGCGCTTCCCATGTCATTTTGTAGTGACCATACGCTGCAATAATTCACTGGGCTTTGTGGACCAATGGCCTGAGCAAGCGCATGTCAATTCTTAATGATTCCTGTTAGAATCGTTTAGAAGCTGAAAGACTTCTCTTAAGGGACCTTGACAGGGTCTGATTCGATTTGTTCCAGGGTAGGATTGCCCTTGTTCCTGTTTATGGATGCTCATGATCTGGACTCAGGACTCAAGCAGGAATGAGGAGGATGTTGAAGTTTGGTATATGTAGCTTGTGGCTTCAACTGTTTGATCTGGAGTGAGGGACAGGAAGGTTTCTTTTCTTTTTCTAAAGATCAGTGCAGAGAGAAGAGGTGAAAAATCTTTATGAAAACCAAAACCAGAAGAGAAGCAGCACTGAGAGTAGGCCAAATCTTACTGGTGAATATGAGCATTACTCATGTAACTTCAACAGAGTACATGCTTTAACTGAGCATGTACTGCTGAAGGCTTGGCCCATAATGTCCTTTATAAAGCTCTGATTCCTCCCCAAATAGTTTTTCCTTCCCTCTTCAAAGAGGCACCTGTTGTTGGTGGAGTTGGTGATGATACTGGATTAGTGCACATGCGGTCAGCCTGCTTGGCCTCGGCTCTTTGGACCCAAAATGAACTCCAGCTGCTGTTGCCCAGAGCAGGTGCTTCATCCAGCCCTAGCAGCTGTTTGAATATACACTGTCATGGCCAAGAGGAGGGGGTAGGTCCCTTGAAAAAAGAGCTGATCAGCAGCAAGGAGGGAAAAGGGAGTGTGCCACAGAGACTTGACTTTTATACCTAGCATTTAACAGACAAAAGTTGTTCTAGCATTTCCTTGTGGAAATGGGAAATAGTGGCTGTCACTCTGCATCCACTTAGCCTGCAGGGCACCATGATGGATCATGGTTCCCAAAATGAGGCTGAGGGACCACTGAAGACCTGCAGGGTCATGACAAATGATTGATCTCTAAGCTGCCAAGCTTGTATTGTAGTTTGGAGATACGATATAGGTACATGGTAGCATGTGAGGATATTGAGGGCTGGTAGTGTTTCACAGCTGTTCAGTGTTTGTAGTCACTGGTTTAAAGCAGCAATGTGCAGCCCAGTAAAAGTGAGGTTAGACACAGAACAGTGTCCAGGCTAATAGTCTGGTACTTGTGATAGCTTGGGCTTCACATTCACGCTGCCAAAGCCAGCAGCAAGAGGAGAGAACAAAAGCAGAGATTATCTGGGGTTACAAAGCAGCCATAGGAGACAGTGTCAGGGAAATGAGGGTGAGGAGACAGTGTGGGACATGTGGATGTGTTGGGAAGTAGCAGCCAGAGTTTGAGAAGGGCTCACAAATAATCCATGGCTCACAAATAATCCATGTCTGAGGTAAAGCAGCAGCAATCCAGTGTTAGAGTGAAGGGGCAGGAGAGGATAGCTTGGGGTAAGGGTATCACAACTTTCAAAGAGAAGAAGGCATCTTAAATTTGCAGCAGGAGGTACTGGGGGAGTGTCTTGCAAAGCAGGGAGTCTTACAGTATAAACTGACCAAAGTCATTCCTATAGCTGGCCTCACAACTGGCCCCTTCTGCTTTCTTTCCAGCTTGCCTTCAAAGTATTTCCTTTGGATTGTCTCTCACAGATGAAGGAGAGGTCTCTGTTCAATCCCGTGCTCTCTGATTATTCACATGCTACTAGTGATGTTGCTCCGGGCCTCTTTCCATGAGCGTGCAGTCTCATGGCTGTGCCTGCATATGTCACTGCCAGCATTAACACTCCACAGGGGGCTGTCCTCTTACCTATATACACTAAAGCTACCAGAGTCCTTCCAGTTTCTCTGATAACCTGCATGTCCACTTTGTACCTTTACCCTGTGTGTGGTTTCAGTTGTATCCCGTCAGTGAGGCTTTTCATTCTGTGTATCTTTGTTCAACCAAGTTCCCACTGAACCTCCATAAGTAGGGGTAAATGATAAGCAAGGACATTTCTTTGTATAACTATAAAAGGATTATTCAGGCCATATTTCAGTACATCAAGGCCTATGAGCAAGAGAAAATATGAATATTGGAGGCCTCTCTTTGTCAGGAAATGGGATTTCCGCAGGTGCTCAGTTGCAGATGCTCTGCATGCTTCTAAGGCTTGGCACATGTCATTGCTAAATCCTGATTCAGGATTCAAGAATGTCTTATAACCCCTGCCATGTAAACTGCTGTCTGGCCATGTTTGGAAATCAGCCGTCAATGATGACAGTAGATGAGTATGGGTGAAATGAGCAGCTTGGCTTCAGCACTAAACAAGACTTGTTAAACATTGTAAATACAGATGTCCAATTCATATTTTGAATAATGAATATTATGACCTTTTCTGTAGCAAGTGGCAAGAAGCTGGATCATCTTTCTTCATCTCCTTGATGCCTTCTCAGGATTTGAAAGTGTGATGAAGTATTTCATCCCTTTACAGGGTTAGGTAAGATTGGTAACCATAGTTCTTGTATAGAATTACATAGAAATACTCTAAACAGCCAAATATATTGATTTAAGGTCACCTGTGTGACCTTAAATTGTGCAGGCAAATGGTTTCTGTTCTGGTTTATCCACTTCTTGAATTGGCCAGGCTACCCAGTTGACTTCAGTTGTTCATTCTTTTAGATGAAAGATGACCACTGATGGTACAGGCTTGTACAATTTCTGTCCCCGTGTAGCTTTTTCGTCAGGTATTCCTCTTACCTGTATTTCTTCTACATGAAAATTAGAGAAATGGAACCAGAAAATCTACACGAATGAAATTCTCAAGGCTGTTAAGGAAATAGCTGCATTAGAAATAGGGAGTTTCTGTTCTTACGGCCCTTGGACTTGTCACTGTTACACGTGGAAAGAAACACTACACATGGCTGTTAATAAGTGTGTGATGTGCATCTATGTGAGGGGAAGACATCCTCTGATGTGCTCCTGGTTACTGTCCCTATGTTTTTGTCACTTTCAGTAAATTACAGTTCATTCGTGGGTCTGTGGGCCTATCAGCAGTAGTTCCCCGCTGCCCCCCCTGCCTGGTATCATGGCTGGATGGTACACACACCCGTTGCTGCTTCACTAGCAGTAGTGAAGTGGCAGGTGTTGCCTTGTCTCTGTACTTCTCTACCTCAGCTTCCTTGCACAGTGATGTGACTCAAGAAAAATTGAAGCAACTTTCTACTCCTTTTGGAGTATAAATTAAAACCCAAACAAACAAACAAATACCATTCTCAGTGTGGCCCAAGATCTGTATTTAAGTGTGGCGGCACATTTAATTTTGTTTTTCAGATTGTTAACCACCTACATGTGGAAAAGAATTTTTTGATGAAGTGCCTGTCTCATGCTAATTTAAATGTAATTAGGTACCACGGAATTTCACAGATTTAAGCCATTCCCAAAAGGTGTGTGGCAATGTCCAATGTCCTGTCTTGTGAGGAACAAGAAAGTGAAGCACTTTGGATGTAGTAAAGTCAAAACTTACTAATTGCTGGATTCAGGCTAAGGAAATAAATTGCCTTTTAACAGGCCTCTATGTTTTGGGGATCTGGAGAACTGAGGGGTTTACTTTGTATGAGGCCCATGTTATGCTGTGCAGGAATTCCCAATTCAGGGTTAAAAATACTGCAAGTGCCCTTCTATGGTACAGCTGACAATTAGCCTGGTGCGAGTAGAAAAAACAATCATTAAGTGGTGAGTGAAAGTAGTGTCAGAAATGGACCTTGACAGAATGGTAACATACAGTTAGCCCGAGCAACATTCTTCACACCTGCTGTGGTGCATAACAGTAGCTGGCTGACTTAACCCGTGGCACTACAAGCAGAGCATTGTGTTGTGACACAGCCTGGACAGCGATTGAATTACACACCGATTAGGTCTTCGGCTTCTCTCTGTCACTGTGGACAATGAAGAATCAGAGAAGTGGACATGAGAGATTTAGCAGGCCTTGTGCTCTCGAATGGAGGAGGATTAGTTTGTAAATGGTAAATTGTGTTGGGGCCAAGAGTCATAAAACTGAGCTCTTGCCCTTCTGCTGCCTCAAAGGCACAGGCTTTGCAGAAGGCCCCTTCCTCCCCCCCCCCGCCTTCTACTGACTGCTGTGATGAGGGGAGGGGTGGACAACTGGAATCTGCTCCTCCTTTTCTTTGCCAAAGAAGGATGAAGACACCGGAACATGTGTACAAGTTTTGCCCCTCACTATCACTTAGTATCCTTTCTTGGAAAGGACATAGAATTAAATTAATCAGTCTTCTACCATTTCCACCGGGGCACAGATTTGCCTCTCACTGAGGTGTTGCTGGCTGTGGTAGAGGGTGTCCCTAAGACCTCATTTAACCTTGCATACCATTTCTCAGGAGGTCTGCAACAGGGCTCAAGAACTGGAAATCTTACATCCTTTCCCTCCTGTCATCTGCTTCCACACAACTGCAGAGCCTGCGCTGCGCTCTCAGCAAAATCACCCTGAAACGCCCTGTGGTGGAGGTTTGTACTAAGCTGATACAGAACGGACATTGCTCTTGGTGGCAGTATCCCTTGTTGCCATGTTGTTCATAGAGAAGATGAGTTTATACTCGCCTTTGTTCCACTGAGACGAGTGTTTGGTGTGTTCTACATACCAAAAGTGGCAAATCTTCTGTATCTTCTTTCAATTTTCAATTGAAAGTCTACATGACATGAACTTCTTGGGTTTTGGTGTGGTTTTTTTTTAGAGAGGTAAAGCTTTTTTGGTTAAAAAAATGCAACTGTTGAACCCCAGTTGGAGAAACAGCTGCAATATGTATGTGCATGATACAGTGCATGGGATACAAAGCATTCCCATTCCTTCTGATCTTGCATATCCACTCCCTGTACCTATTGAATGTGATAGCCTTTAGGCATGAGTGTAGACTCAGAGATGGGAAGGGCTAGCTTGCCATGCAAACATTTATCTGATGGCCCCATCCTATTTTCTAGAACCAAAGACTTAATTGTGATAAAATGGACATCTTAAAGCATTGTAGGAGGTAGGGGGATAAAACTGCACTTAATCTGAGTTTAGTTAGGCATGTTTCATACCTTGGAGTTTGACAGTAAATAACACAGTATATGATCAATGGAAATATGATCTTAATCTGTAACTATAAAAAAGAAAAGGATGGTCTTGAAAGTCCAGCAATCTTTCAGACCATCTTAAGACAGTGAAATTCAACAGGGTTGTTCCTGTTAATGATCTAAGAGTAGAGATACTGTTGAATACATGAAAATTTTATCTTGTTCCAGTAATCTTTATTACTGTAATAAATGATTCTCATTCTCTTTCCCTGCAGGCCTTATCCCATGTGTTTATAGTGCTGGAATTTATTTTATGTTGAGCTAGGAAACAGTGCATACCTGGGTACTGTAAGATTGTAAGAGGCTTTATAAGTATACTATTTAAAAAGAATTGCTTGTGCTCTGGTTGCTAGTTTGAACTGAGAAAAGATACTTATATTTCATACTCCTAAAAGCAGTAGTGTATTTGCTATAATACACCAGTTCAGGGTGATTTGCTCATAAACTATCAGTTCAAGAAAAGTCTTAAATCTCTTGCACCTATTTTCTCTTAATAAGTGCCAAATACTTAGTACCTCCCAAAAATGCTCACAAGCCTATAGAGTATAAAGGCTTTGCTTTGGCTCTTCTTAAAAGCTCTTTAAGAAGTTACGAATGAGAGAAATTCAGCTGTTGCTCAACATAGACACTACTGGTAACTGATAGTTCATTTTCAAAACTGGAAAATAAGAGCTATTCTAAGTAGCCACTGTTGGTTTTAATACTGTGGAATATTTCAAATGTAAGTTTTGAAAAAAAAACCCCAGTCATTCACTATTGCTGATACAGGAATGACAGAGGTTAATACCACTGACATCATGTTGGAACTGTATAGTATTTTGTTAATGGTTATTAATGCCCTACTGCTGGGAGACAGACAGTGCCAGCTGCCAGTTAGTGTGGTGCCTCTCTGTGGGTGTGCCTGGTCTCTGCTTAGAGAGGGGCACAAGGAGAGTTCATGTCTGCTCCCTACCTCGACATCCCTCCACGGAAACAGGAGGAGATACTGAGAGAAGGTAGTTACAATGCCTTGCTTCTGTCTCTGCTGACTAAAGAACAGGTCTGAGAGAGTGAAGCAGGAGCAGCAGACATCTATGGAGCCACATCCAGATGGCACTGAGGACTTGTATTCAATTCATAGAATCATAGAATAGTTAGGATTGGAAAGGACCTTAAGATCATCTAGTTCCAGCCCCCCTGCCATGGGCAGGGACACCTCACATGAAACCATGTCACCCAAGGCTCTGTCCAACCTGGCCTTGAACACCACCAGGGATGGAGCATTCACAACTTCCCTGGGCAACCCATTCCAGTGCCTCACCACCCTCACAGTAAAGAATTTCTTCCTGATATCCAATATAAACTTCCCTTGTTTAAGTTTTAACCCATTACCCCTTGTCCTGTCACTACAGTCCCTAATGAAGAGCCCTTCTCCAGCACCCCTATAGCCCCACTTCAGATACTGGAAGGCTGCTACGAGGTCTCCTCGCAGCCTTCTCTTCTCCAGGCTGAACAGCCCCAACTTTCTCAGCCTATCTTCATACGGGAGGTGCTCCAAGTCCCCCGATCATCCTCGTGGCCCTCCTCTGCATTTGTTCCAACAATTCCATGTCCTTCTTATGTTGAGGACACCAGAACTGTTCACAATACTCCAAGTGAGGTCTCACGAGTGACCAGCAGAGGGGCAGGATCACCTCCTTTGACCTGCTGCTCACACTCCTTTTGATGCAGCCCAGGATACGGTTGGCTTTCTGAGCTGCGAGCACACAGTGAAGCCGGCTCATGTTTATTTGCTCATTGACCAACATCCCCAAGTCCTTCTCTGCAGGGCTGCTCTGAGTTCAGGACTAAACTCAAGATAGACATCCTGTGCAATAAACCAGGAAGAAAGTCAAAAATGCATGGAAATGGTGCCAGTAGGCCTGGGGAAGAAGTGTAGGTTTATGTAAGAGAGCCTTAGAGCTTTGGACATTGGTGGAAATAAGTCAGAAATGGTATAGAGTGAAGGAAAACAACTCTTGAGAGGAAGGGGAAGAAACTTTGTAGTGGCAGAATGATGATGGATATAGAGCAATTAAATAGCTTCTACTACATCATATTTGTTGTACATCCAGATTTGTAGGTTTAGCTGCTTCACTTGGGGCTAGCTATTACATTGTGTAATACCTGTAAATTTCATCCACCATAAGGGAATGAAACATACAGAAAGATGCAATATGTCACTGTAGTATATCAAATTGAGAACAGCATTTTTTGCAGTCTGTACTGAACACAGGTTTAAGCCAGCAGCAGATTATTCCTTAAGTGTATTGTTGTTATGACAAATCTGAAAGGAGTTAAAAGCATTTCAGTAGATTAAAAAAATGAGACTTTTATTTCCTTTACCACAGCCTGGTCTCAAAATGGGACTGCCAGCCAGGTTTATGCAGCTTGGCCTTGTACTACACAAGTACCCTCTGGTGAATGTGAGTGGAATCAGTTGTGAGTCCTGCGGGAGGAACCGGCTCACCAGGCCTCTCCAAATCAGTCAGCTTCTAGGTCTCTAAACACTGGGGTAATGTAACCTAAATAATACACTGAGATTGTTTAGCAAAGACATGTCTGATGGCCCAAGGGCATTTTGGTGATAACTGCTGTCTGATATGCCACACAGACTGTTGTATTCTCTTTCATGCTAAGAAAAAAAATAGTATACCACTACTTATGTATGTTTGCTAAAAGGGAAGATGAATGTTTGATTGAATGAAGCTCAGGTTTGGGGGACACAATTTCAATTTAACACCCATTAATTTTGTACACCTGTTAATTAATAGATATAAATGGAAATGTCCATATAATACTGTACACGTACTCTCCAATTATGTAGCCTAATAATTGAACACAGTGATTTGTACAGATATTTTATTTTCTCTGGCCACTTTTACAGAAAGAGTTGCCTATACAAATACTTGCCAGTCAGTTGCCTTATCTTCAGTGACACATACTTTGCTTGGAACATTTTTTTGGATTGAAAGGTGCTGTATTTACTCTGAGAATGAAGAGAAGACTTCTTAAAATATTGACAAAGAGTTCAGAAACTCTTTATTATTTTTGAGGAGTAGGTCTTTTCCCACCTCCTATTTGTCTTCAGAAGACCTCTCTCCTCATAGCTCAAAAAAGGCTGATACTGTCCTTCATGCTTTTATTACAGCTAAATCACTTTGTAGTTGATCGCTTCCACTGGAATAAAAGTGTAAAGACATGTATGGAGGAAATCCCATCAGGCCAATTCTGCTGCCACTCCTGTTGGTAGGAATTAAAGTGCCTGAAACTTGTTTTCATTGAGGATAGGTTAATGGTTGGACTCTATGATCTTAAAGGTCTTTTCCAACTGAAATGATTCTACAGTTCTGTGAATCTGACCTCAGCTAGCAGGAGCAGCAGATTATGGGAAGTGGTTATTCCCCTCTGCAGAGTGTTGTGAGAAACAGCATCTGAAGCATGATGTCCAGTTTTGGTCTGCCCTAAACAAAAAAGACATTGTCTTACTGGAACAGAACAAAGATGAGAGGCTGCAGCCAGTGATACATAGGAGAGAACTGGGCTGGTTTGTCATGGAGAGATGCTGTCCCTCACAGTCAAGAGCTGCCTGCTGTGAGGGTGCATAGAAGATTGCGTCAGACGTGTCTTGGATGAGATGCAAGAGGCCCAAGGTGGAGCAAAGGAAATTTCAAATTCTAGAAAAAATATTCCCAAAAAACATGATAGGCTGGGGTCCGCAGAGGAGGTGTCATCTCTATCCTTGTAGATGCTCAAAATTGACCACACAAGCCCCGAGAAGCTTGGTCTAGCATGGCTCTGCTCTAAACTGGAGACCACTGGAAGTTCATGCCAACCAGTATGTGTGGTTCTGTGGTAATACTTAGAAATTAAAAAGGTAAATGAAACTATTAGCAGAGAGTACTTTTTCCTGTGTAATTCATAGCTCCTTGAATTACATGTCAGTTGAGAACTTTCTAGTGGAGCTTACTTTGTAAGCAGTTGATCTGGCGTAGAGTAAATTTGGGTATGTGCTGGCATGGAAAAATTGCAAAGCCAGTAAGGCAACTGCATGTAGTTAACAGTCCTTTCATGTTTGCGCAAAGTCCTAAGCAGACTTAAAAACCTTTCAAACCTACCAAACTATGTTTGTGGCTTTTCCATTGTTTGTGGTCATTGTGCATTGAGCACAGACAGAAACGATAACAACAACAACCCCACGAACAAACAAACAAACAAAAAAAACCCCCACAAAAAACCCCAAACAAACCCCAAACCAAACCCCCCCCCCCAAAAAAAAAAATAGAAAGGCAGAAATAGTCCAGTTCTATTCCAACACAGATAATGTCACTTACTATTAACCCAGCTACAGGTGACTCCTTTTATTCTCCTCTCCCAAATTCCACACAGATCAGGTTCACCTGAACCTTCCTCACCTGTAAACCAATCTGGGATAAGTTCTTTGACTTGATATTTCGTATCTCAGTTCTGAGACTATAACTAAAGGAGGCTAGATAGAAAAAGGAATAGGAATTTGGTTGAGTGCTCTTTGCAAAGAGGTGAGACGGCTGCTCTAAGGGTTGTGTTTTGTGCACCCAAGTGCAGCCCCAGCTTCCCTGATCGAGCTGGCTGCAGGTGTGGGCACCTGGGCAGGATTGCTGCCACCAAGGCTAGAGGCAGTGGCAGGGGGAGGGAGGAGGGAAAGAAAGACGTGTAGTCATTTGGGAAGGGCAGTAAGGGAGGCTGAGGCTTCTGGAAGGTGCTTGAGTTGGAATAAACTCTGCTGATGTGGGTTTCTTTACAGAGCAGCAAAGAGCCTCTAAAAGGCACTCATCTTAAAGTGATCACAAGTACAAGGTCATTTCTGAAGGATAAAATGGTGGTGAGGCTGGGATGGCAGTTATTTTGGGGGTTATGGGCTTGTTTTTTTTCAGTGTAAGGAAATACGGTAGCAGATTCTGATGCCTTTTATTTTGGTTGTAGTGCATGTAACTGACCCTTGAAGCTTGATTTATTGTTCTGGAGTTGTAGCTGTCAAAAA